GTCAGATTAAAGGGGTAAGACATCCTAACGTTGTCATTAAAAAAGATATCAAGTATTGTTCCTACAAGAAAAAAGGTCATATGAAATATAAATGCCCCAAATATAAGGCCTAGTTAGAGAAAAAGAATAAACAATAAGGTAATTTCACTAGCTTTCATTTTTTTGAATCCTACTTTGTTAGTGCCCTACCGAATTCATAGTGGCTTGATAATGGTACAACTATTCATGTTGCTATTACCTTGCAGGAGTTTAAAAGCAAATGGAAGCCAAGTGAGAAAGATGTTAAACTTAAAGTTGGAAACAATGCTAAACTAGATGTTAGTCATATAGGAATAATAGGTTTAAATTTGGATTATAGCTTCGAACTTGTTTTGAAAAATATATATTATGTACCTTTATTTAGGAGGAATTTGATTTTAGTTTCTGTTTTAAACAAATGTGGTTACTACGTTGGCATTGGAAATGAAAAAGTTGACTTGTTTTTAAATTCAAATGTTGTTGGTAGATTTAAACTTGTTGACAATTTATATATATTGTCTTTGGCCTTCAATAATGAATAAGTTGTAATAATGTTAAAAAGATAGTGTCTAAAAGATCTTTAATTAAAGAAAACTTTTCCTTGTTGTGGCATAAAAGGTTGGGTCACATTTTTAATGAAAGAGTTCAAATATTGATAAAAGATAGTACTTTACCATCCCTTGATTTTTAAAAATTAAACATTTATGTTGATTGCATAAGGGGTAAACTAACTAAAACTAAGAAGAAATGGGCAACTTCCAATTCTAACCTTTTGAAAATTATACATACTGATATTAATGGACCTTTTACACCTACTTTGTGTAGTAACAATTTTGTTACTTTTATTGATGATTATTCTTGATATGGGTATTTTTACTTGCTCGATGAAAAATCTGATCCTTTTGATAAATTTAAAAATTTTAAGATTGAGGTAGAAAAACAATTAAGAAAAGTCATCAAAGTTGTTAGGTCTGACCGTGAAGGTAAGTATTGTGGTAGACATGATGAAATTGGATAATACATTGGACTGTTTACCAAACACTTACAAGAATGTAGGATTGTTACCCAATATACTATGCTTGGTAGTCCTAAACAAAATGATGGGGCCAAAATATGGAATCAAACCCATAAGGTTATGTTGAAGAGTATGATGAGTAGAACCAATCTTCCTGAATCTCTTTAGAGTGAAACTATTAAAATTGCCTTGTATATACTCAACAGGGTACCTAGTAAATCTGTTCCTAAAATACCTTTTGAATTGTGAACTGATAAGAAACCCAGCTTGAACCACTTTCGAGTTAGGGGATGTCTTGCAAAAGTTAGAATCCGTAACTCTTTTGAAAGAAAGATTGAACCCATGAGTACTTATTGCTTTTTCATAAGGTATCTAGACCATTTTAAGAGATATAGGTTCAATTGTCCTACATGTAAAACTAAGATTGTAGAGTCACAAATGGTAAAGTTTCTTAAGCTAGATGTTGTTAAAAAGGGTATAGCAAAGGTTATGAATAATAATGAATTTATTAAACATATCTCCATTCCTTTTCCTATAACACAATGCCATATTATGCCAGTAGCCATAGAGAGAGGAGATCAAAGGCAACTGGATACAAGCCCTCCTCTTACTGATCTTACCTTTATTGATGTACTGCAAGTTCAAAAAAATAAGATTGAAATGCCTCTAAGGAGATCTACCAAACAAAAAAGATCTATCATATCCAATGATTATGTAATTTATCTTAAAAAAAGTGACTATGATATTAGTCATGTAGTTAACCTTGAAACTTTTGGTAAAGCTATTAGAAATTTACAGTCTGCTATATAGATGGATACAATGAAGGATGAGATGAATTCTATGGCTCAGAATGTTGTTTGAAAGCTTGTTGAACTACCAAAAAGGTGAAAACCCATTGGAGGTAAATGGGTGTATAAAACCAAGAAAGATTTTAAGAAAAAAATTAAGAGGTTCAAAAGTAGACTGTTGGCAAAAGGATTTACTCAGAGGGAAATAATGGATAATAATGAAACCTTGTCACTAGTGTCTTCAAAAGATTCTTTTAGGATCATTTTAGCTTTGGTAGCATATTTTGATATAAAGCTTCATCAAATAGATGCAAAGATTGCTTTTCTCAATGGTAATCTCAGAGAAAAGGTTCATATGGTACATCTTAAGAGATTTCAAGAATCTAGAAAAGAGCATTTAGTATGTTGGCTTAAAAAGTCAATCTATGGCCTTAAGTAAGCTTTTAGGTAGCGGTAATGAGATAGTTACTTTCTTGGGTTTTATAGAAAATAAAGTTGATTTATGCATATACCTTAAAATCAGTGAGAGTAAGTATATCTTTCTTATTTTGTATGTAAATGATATCTTGCTGGCCTATAATGATGTTGGTTTGTTGCATGAAACTAAGTAGTTGTTGTCTAAAACTTTTGACGTGAAAGATTTTGGGGATGTCTTCTTTGTTCTTGGAATTGAAATTTATAGAGATAGGTTTCAAAATTTGTTGAAACTATTATAAAAGTCTTACATTGACCATGTGCTTAATAAATTTAACATGCAAAACTATAAGACTGGGGATATACCCATTGTGAAATGTGATAGACTTAATCTTAGTCAGTGCCCAAAGAATGATTTGGAGAAAGAATCTATGAAGAACATACTATATTTTAGTATAGTTGCGAGTCTCATGTAAGTTAGACATTGCTTTTGTAATTGGAGTTCTTAGGAGATATCTTTCTAATCCTAGTATGGATCATTGGGTTGTTGCTAAAAAAATGATGAGGTACTTACAAAAGACCAAAGACTATTTGTTGGTATACAGAAAGATGGACAATCTTAAAATAGTTGGGTATACAGATTCTAACTTCATTGGTTGTCAAGATGACATGAATCCACTTCATAATATATTTTTATGTTAGCTAGAGGAGCTATGTCTTAGAAGAGTATGGAACAAACACTTTTAGCTTTTTCAACCATGCAGGTTGAATTTATAGCATGTTATGGAGTTGCTATGTAGACAATTTGCCTTAAGAATTTTATTTCAAGTCTTTGCATTATTGATTCTATCTCTAAACCATTAGAGATTTATTGTGACAATAAGTTTGCTATGTTGTTTTCTAAGAACAACAAGAGCATAAATGGGTCTAAACATTTGAAGATTAAATATTTTAAAGTCTAGGATTTTGTGAAAAATGGTAAGGTTGTTGTCGAACACATTAAGACTGACAAAATGATTGTTGATCATTTGACTAAAGGGATATGACCTATAATGTTTAGTAAACATGTTGAGAGCATAGATATTCTAAGGTTTTTTGATGTAATTCATTAGTAGAATATATCATTTTATTTCATACTCACACATTATGGTTTATCTTTATGTTGGACCCTTTTTCTTTACGTTTGAAATATCTATATGATATTTGATTCCATACTTGAATGATGATCATTACTGATTAATATTTTATGTTATTATTTATTACGTTAGTAGATGTACACTTGAAAAATTAAAGTTTCTTATATATACTATAAAGTCTTAAGACTTGGTATTTGTTTTAAATACGATTTTAATATCTTTTAGGTATATCTCATAAATGATACTAGCAAGTAACCTCAAGGATATTAATGAGACATACAGGCACATCTAGATGCCATGAAGATTTCTCAACAAATTTAGAGAAATCGGCAAGAGGGGTGACAATAGAAATGACATATTAAGATCACATTTAAGTGTTATTTTCTTGCTACACAGCTACACTAAGATAGAGTCTCTGGTATTAGTAATTGTGGATTAGTCTTATGTTAAAAAAGGGTATAAAAGCTATCATGAGTCGGTATTAGATGGTTTTATTGGATAAGATCATTAAGATATTGTCTCAAGAACTAAATTGTTTTTAAAATTGTGGCCATATCAAAGTAAAGTAAATAAGCTTGGAGTTTTGTTTTCAAGTCAAGTTTTTTTAAAATCAAACAACCCAATTAATATTGCTCAAGTGAGAGAATGTTAGAATTTTCTGTAAGTGAGCTACTATTAATGGGCAATTTTAATTTAATAAAATCGACTAATAGATTTAGTTGGGACAAGTATGAAAGCTCAATTAATTTAATGTGATAACCTAAATGTGGATTTTGCACATTTTACTGGTCAGTGTGATAAGGCTTCGAAAGCCTTTGATGGAGAGGTTATAATGGTTATTTAATTAATGAGGCTAAGGTCCCCTATTCACTTATCATATATGGTAACTATCCATTGAGAAACTGCTAACGAGAAAACAGCAAAGATGAAGACCATAACTACTTTAGGGTTCATTTGGCTTCCACAATTTCACGATGACTATCCAAGTAGGTATGTCTGATCTCTTCGATTCATATATGATGTTTTAATTTTTACACAATGATCTTGGATTAATGCGTACAAATGTATCAAATAGTTTTTTTAATGATCCGGCACAAGGGAGAAGGCTTTTCCAACATTGATTGAATGCACTGATGAACCAACCAGTGCATGGATCTATATAAATTATTTTGGCTTTTACAGGAGAATTTTGCATCCTAATAGAGGGTGCATTTGAGAGCATAAGATTCGCTTAAGAAAATAACAAATTTATGTCCAGGTTTTTTTCCTCTGTTTACCTGAATTTTTGTTGGATCAAAACTGAGGAATTCTACGGCAGTTGCTTCTTTGAATTGTTGTCGGACCACAGGCTATTGAGCTTGATCTTGAGCAGGGAGCAGCTGAACGTTAATTGGTTATTTTTCATATCTATGTTTTTGTATGGAGTTGTGAGTGTTAGGTTCAGATGGTGGATTCTTTCACATGTAAAAAAAAAAAGCGTGATATACCTCTATTTATTTTTGGTACAAGGTTCGGGCAATCGGGTGAGGTGAAGCGTGTTTTGAGTGGGGGTTTAAATTTAATGCAAGCCAAACATTTTCTGCCATGTAATTTTAACAGATTTATAAAATTATATAGGAAAATCTTTGGAAATGGACCAAAGGAGCTTTACTTATGAGATTTTTGCCCTTAAAAAGTTAAATACATCAAAGAGACAGCAATTGGGATGAATATTTTTGTTGTCCAAAAACAAAAAGGAATAAACATACACCTCTAAAATAGCATGCAATGTTAAAAACTGATGAATCAAATATAAGGTGTGAAAATTGCTCCCCAACCATCCCCTTTTCAAGTGTTAAAAAAATCTGATACAAATAGGACTGACTGGTTATAAGTTCTTATTGTTCTATATAACTATGAGCTGCATACATAAAAAATGCTATTACGGAGGGAGTCAGCACTACGTTAACTAGGATCATTTTTGCTGCATTTGTTTCCTTAAGTTTCCAAGTGGGCCATAACCTTTCTCCTTTACCTCTTCTCTACAGTTACAACTACTAGTATTAAAATTTATGCCACATTGAAGACATATGCCTTTGCATCTTGGATCACATACTGCATTAATCGTAATTTCCAAATGCACCAGGTCTCTTATGTGTTTTGAAATATCTATTTCCTTTTCTTCAGGAGGAAAATAAAGCCTATCATCGCAATCGATTGATGCATCATCATCTTCCTCCACCTCTTGGTTACTTCCATACAAAGATTTATACCTTTCCTCAAAGGTTGCTCCCATATCAATAATTTCAGGTTCTTCTATGGGCTCTTCACTAAGTAGAAGTGAGAAATTGGAGAAAACACACTCAGCAGCTGGCTCACCACACCTTCAACATAAAGTTAAATGCAGTGTCAATTAGACCGAGGCGTAAAAAGGTAAGTAGAGGTAAATTTTAGGCAGTATAACTATTACAAAAGAGTTCCTTGGGCCAATGCAGTGTCAGACAGATTTCTTCCTGAAAATGACCAGTGGATGTAATTCACAATGCATGAACTAAAGGGGCATTTGAGTGACACAAAGAAGTCAGAAATCCTAATTAGTGATATCAACCGCACTGGTAAAAATATTAAAAATAAAAAATAAAACTTTTACACCTTTATTTATACACCACTGGGCATCTTTCCATATTTAACATCTGAGCATTCAGGGTAAGTAAATATCATTTTAGTTGAAACAAACTGATAGAAATTTTTGTCAAGGCACCTACTGCATCTTCTTTTCATCTTGCCACATTTAACATTTAAACTTTCAGGCTAAATAAATATCATTTAATTAGGCATGAACCTGAAAACCATGTCAAAGGCCTGACTTCATCTTCTTCTCATCTACTTCATATAGATTCTTATTTCCATCTCTTTTCTCTTCTGCAAAGCTATTATTCTCCTTTCCTGCACATGACATGTCTTAGATTTTTCTTCTTTGATATAGGGTTCTTGATTTTCTCAATCAGTTCTCTCAATCTTCCAATAAATTTGATTATGTCATCAAATCCCGTTTGACACATAAGATTTCATCTCAATATTATTAAGCAATATTTAGACCTAGATATTTCTGATTTTTTTTCTTTTCCAATTAATTTGCCACTGATTCTTGGTTAAATGTTTTGATTTTCTCAACTAACTCTCATTGTGTTTCACAAACATGCCAATTTGTCTTACTATTGTTATTACAATAACTGAGATTTTTATCACTAGTATCAAACCATTCCATAGCCATTACCTGCTCTTGAGGAAAACCTCCTTCAATCAACCAGAACACTTATATACATTACCTGTTCAAATCATTCCATAGTCATTGCCTGTTCGTGAGGAAAACCTCCTTCAACCAACCAGAAATACTTATAGACATTGGATGTTGTTAAATATCTAATCTGAGATATACAATCACATAAATGCTTTAGAAACATCTGATAAAATTTGGCAAGAATGGGAGCTTCTATTACTTTTATCTATGAACTAACAAACACATTCTATCTCATACATAACCAGAAATGTCTTTCACACATTACAAAGTAACAACAGATTAGATTGGAGAATAGTTTTTGACACCTATTGTGCTATCTAATGATACTTAAATTTGAATCAGTGCAAATGCATGCAAACTATTTTTACCAAAACTGTAAATTGCAGGCAACAAAGCAAACCCCAGTCTTGTTAAGTGATGAAAGCTACAAAAATTACACCGGTTTCCATGAGAAACAAAAAGGGGAAGAGAACAGATAGCTATGAATAAAAATATATTAAAACAAAAAAAAAAAAAGAGGCGTTTTAACAATCAAAGTTCAAATAGTAAAATTAAACAAGAAATGGAAAATCCATTAATAACAAAGAGCAAGTCCAAAATTGATTGGCTAACTTAATGAAAAATCAGAGTATGAACGATTGAAATTAATTGGGGAAAGAAAAATACCTATTACAACCGAGAGTGATGACAGTTTTAATGATCCCATCGAGCCTCATCTTTCGCTTCTTCCTTGTCGCATCTATGGAGATCTGAACAGGGGTTCCATTAGGATAATCTTTCACATCTTTTGTGACCCGTAATCCCATCACTGAAGCCCTAGATTTGGAGATATCACTTGAAAGTTTTCCTAATCCAAGCCTCTCTAAGGTTGTGCAATACTCCATATGAGTAACAGAAGGGTTTCTCCTGTATATAACCGCCCCTTCCCATGGTGACCCCATGTCTTCAACATCCTCTTCATCTTCCCAATCAAAAGTTACTGTGTTGTCCTCGGTGAAAGACTGACTATTTTGGTTGATAGAATCTCTAACAGGCTTCAAAATATTCGGTGACTTCTTTCTAAAAATTTTATGGTTATTTAGGGTAGGAAATTTGGAATGAACAACAAACGAACACAACGGAATTGATAAAGCATGTTGCCCATATTTCACATCACATACTCTGAATGGACTAAAAATTGAGGAAAAAGTTACTGAGGATGATGATATTACAAGAGACATTTAGGTTCCTTATATCTACCTAACGGTATAGAAAAAATTGAAGGTTTTTGGATATAGCGAGAAACGAAGGGGCCAAGCAATAAACGGAGTACTTATAAAAAACGCCAGTATGCAAAAAAAAGTTGTGCACACGTTTAAGATAATAAATAAATAAATAAAAAGTTAAATATAAAAATGACTCTATATTATATATATTTTTATCAATTTATTATTTAAAAAAAAATTTTATATTTTATATTTCAAATTTTATTTTGTCATTTATTTTGTATTTAAATTAACATTATCAATTAATTAATTGACGTGATATAAATATTTAGTAAAATATGACACTTATTAAAAATTTAATTAATATTATATAATTAATTATCAAATTAATATTAACTTTTTTTAAATTTAAAAAATATTTTAAAATAATATTTTAAAAAGTTCAATCGTTGATTAATTGGATCTATTATCAAATCAATATTTCAAAAAGTTCAATAATTGATTAATGGGATCAATTAACAAATCAATAAAGATATTTCAAAAAATATAAATATTTCAAAAAGTTAATTTATTATGTGATAAATAATAAAATTTTATTGTAAATAATTTTATATTTAAAAAATTAAAATATATAAGATAATCTAATAAATATGAAAATATTTAAATATATATATAAAATTTAACGTACAAAATAAATTTAAGATTCAAATTTCTAATTCAAACTGTCAAAATATCAGTTAAATAATTCAATTATATTAATTTAAAAAATCAAATAAAAACAAATATTTTAAAGAACTGAAAAACGCAAAAAAAAAAAAATTATCAAAAAAGAAAAGAAAAAGAGAAAGTGATTATTTTTTTAAAGTTAATTTTCAACATGAATAAAATGTAAGAGAGGCAACACGATTTTATTTAGATCTTAGCATTTATATTTTTTATTTGACTTTAAAATGTATTATTTTAGTTAAATAATACAATAACCCATAATTTGAATGATAAAACTAAATAAATCATAATTTTTAAAGTCATTTTATTAGTCTTGCAAAAAAAAAAAAAGCAAATTTAAAACTCAATCGGTTTAATAAAAACCAATTGATTCATCGGTTTATTAATTGGTTCGTTGGTTCAATATGGTTTGAAAGAATTATTTGTAAGTTTGGTCTCATAAGAGAATCGGACCAATTTAAGTGCTGGATCATTGATTCAACTATTTCGACGAGTAGTTTGTTCAATTTTGATAACTATGATCTAAGCACTCCAACTTTGAAAAAAGAATTATATAAAATAATTATTCCAAATCAGAATATATAATTTTTATTCAAATCATGACACATAATTATATTATTAAAAAAAATAATCATTTATTACACATTACATATATATATATATGATGTAATAAATAATTAATTTTTTTAATAATATAATTATACATCATATTGATTTAAAATAATTGTTTCCTACAATCCTTTCTTCCAACATTGTTGCTGTATCTCATGCTTTCTCCTTAACTTTGGTTGCTTTTTGTTTTTTATTTTTCACTAAAAAGTAAAACAATTGAAAATAAAAAAATATTTTTAGTCACACTTTTTTAAATTTGAAAATTTTTTATTTATAAATCATTATTAATTGAGATTGGAAAAAAAAAAAAAAAACAAAAGCACTCTTTCGAATAAAATAGTTTTCCGGTACATATTTGTTCTAATAAAAAAGTATATATTAGGTAAAGTTCAATTTTATTAAATATTTAAAATAATTAAAATAAAAAATTAATTTTAAAAAATCAAATTAGGACCATGCTTATTGGATAAAAAATGGAAGCATATCACTTACAATCATTATAACACAATTAACCAATTATAATTTAAAATTATGTGAGTTCCATCAAAATTTTTTGTGAATTTCACACTTATAAATAGTGGATCTCTACACAATTTTTTATTATAATTGAACAATTATAAAGTTGTAATTATAAGTGATAAAAGTGTAATACTTAGTATCATTGATAATTATTTTTTAAATTTCATAAAAAATTTTCATTAATTAACATTAATTTATTTTAATAATTTTAAAAGTATTGATTTCTTTAATTATTACAGTATAATAAACATGTGATAAAAATGAATTTTTTTAAATTAAAAAATTTTAAAGTCGTTAGACATATTATAATTTTGTTTTTAGGATCTTTTCTTAAAAAAAAGCCCTGTTGTTAATTTCTTTTAATAAAATTATTAAATTATTTTAAATTCAAAAAATACTTTTTTATTCACTTAAAAGCATTTTCATATTGACTGTTCAAAAAATTCTACAATCGCTTCATGATAATAATCCCCTCTATCAGGTTATTCATTCTTGCCAACGTCTGCTTCACATGGATCGAAATTGCCGTATAGTTCACATCAATCGAGAAGTAAATTTTTGTGCAGATTTTCTAGTAAATTATGCTCATGATTGTAATTTTGATGTTGTTTAGTTATTTTCTCTCCTTTTGCCTTCATAGATTGTTTAAAAAGACGTTTTGGGTTTTGCAAGGCCTAGAGTTGTGTAGTGTAAGCGGTTTAACCACAAAAAAAAAAAAAAAAAAAAATCGTAATTCAAAAGGTATCGACAATCTATACATATAATTTAAAGTTATCCGTTCTTTTAACTTATAACTAAATCAGTTTGGTATTAAAAATGATTTAAAGGTTAATTTTATATTTTACTCCCATCCACTCCCCTTTTCCATTTTTGTTGTCTCTGTTTGATCTCTATGTTAATATTGGATTTCTTTTAACAAATTAAAAGCATAATTAAAAACTAAGAAGAGTGTGGATAGTGTTTTTAGGTGATGATGAGTTAGCTGGTAAAATGGGTTGACCTGGACATGCAATAAAATATCATGTTCAATGGATGCCAAAATTTGTCTTTTGAAGTGCGTTCTAACATTCAAGTCGTTTAAGTGTCTTATGGTTTTTAGAGGAAAAAAATAAGTTGTAGAGAATCTGGAAGAAGCATAAAGACGAAGAGTTCAGAATATGTGCTTGGACTTTATGTAAGAGACAATGAGATGTAACATGAGTAAAGTCAGTGATAGCTGATGGAAGGTCTATATGGAGCTCAAAAAAGATTTACATGGGTTAAGTGAAGGCTGATTTTATGATTCTAGGCAAGTTGTAGGCAATGTAAAGGTGAGTTGGTCTATTCTAAGGTGACATGCTGATGTGATATTAGTGGGGATAATTAGGCGAGAAAAACTTGGTGAGTAAGTTGGGAGCGAGCCAGTATTATGGCCGGGAGCTTGAGCGGCAATCCTCCTTAACAATAATGTGACAATAGAGCATGTGTTGACTTGGCAAGTGTGAAGATTGGCTTCGTTGACTGGGCGTTTAAGCGTAACAAAGAGAAAGAAACAAAAAAATAGAGAGGAAAGAGACGAGAAAGAAAGGGTTTAGGGATAGTGATTGTTGAGGAAGGAGAAAGGAAGAGAGAAAGGCGATGGTTGGCGAGGAAGGAAGGGAAAGAAAAGAGAAATAATGGTTGAAGATGGCAATTTGGCTTTCTCATCGGCATATCTCATCCTGGTTAAGATTGGATCAGTTGTAGTCACTCTAGATGGGGTCACATGGGCTAGGCGTCGATCTCTTGCTGGTCACTTGAGTTATGTTTGGTTCAAGATTTTTATCAAATACTTTTTGTGCAATACTAATTTGCTTCAATTGGGCATATGCTAACATAAATCTGAGAGAAATATATTGATTTTGGTCAAAGCCATGAGTTAATATTTAGGTTTGGACGAGATGTTTTAGAGTGTGTTTGGATAAGGGATTTTAATGAAGGATTTCATTTGTAAGGAGACTTTAAAAATTTTAAAATAGAATTATTTTGTTTGGTAAAATAAAAAATAAAATTATCAAATTTCTTCGAATTTAAATAAGAAATTTTTGATAGTTCAAATTCTCTATTTTTAGGTAGAATTTATGAACTTCTTTATTTTTTATGGTAAAAAGTTAACATTTTTTATGTTTTTTTCAAAGCAACTTTTGTTTTTATTTTTTTCTCTTTTTTCAATTTTAACCAAAAATTTTATTATAATTTTTAAAATTTTTTTTTCATATTACTAATAATACCTACACATTTTTACAAATCTAGTTACACCCGTATTACATATATTTTTTAGTATCATTATTTATCTATTATAATTATTTTTTAATCTCATTAAATTTTAATATTTAAAATTCATTTCTAAAAAATAATTATCCAAACAATGGAATTACAAATTTTATTATTTTAAATTGATAAATTTAAAAATATTAACATTTCAAAATTCTTCAAATTTTTAAAATTTTTCATCTAAATGCGTTTTTAAGATCTTACATGAGTGTAAGAGATAAATAAACTTCTTTGTCCTGTTGAAATTAGAGCAACGAGGAGTACGAAAGGAAGGTGCCACTAATTTCAACAAAAAAAATTATTTTTTGGATTATTAGAAATGATGAGTTCAATTTTTTAATCTATTAAATAATGGGTTAAATGACTTGGCCCATGGATAATCCATTTGACAAATGAAGACTAATGGAATTTGAAAAAAGTTCAAGTGTAAAAATTATTAAAAATGGTTTTACATAATAATAAAATAAAAATACATATTAATATATTAAATTGTACTTTGTGGTTGATTATTATTTATGTTATATTTATAATGAATATTTTTGTTGTATTTATCCATTGTATATTATCAAATGCTTTTTCCATCATTAATTTATATTTGCTTTTATTAAAAATTTCTTCTCATATTAATTTTTTTTTGTTATAAACTTTACTCTGTTTATTCATGATATTGCTACTTTGTTAATAAATTTAATATTATCAAACTTTAACGAACGGAAGTAAAGCGAGGCCAAAATTCTAGTTATAATCAAATAAGACTCCAATTAATGGACGAAATGCCTAAACGTGATCTAATTTACTCTTTGGATGTTATTTGATTCAAATATCAATTCCTGTCTAGTATTTCAATTTTAAATTTTAATTTAAAATTAATATTATATGTATTTTGAAATTAAAAAATATTTTATAGGATATATAAAATAATTTTTTAGGTTAAAATTGAAAAATATTTAATCTATACTAACTGCAAATTGATTCAATTGCTAAAAA